TACTTTATTAATTCCTATTGCTCCTTAATTAAATCTACATATGCAGCAGTGAAATCTCCCAAATCATCAACTGGTGCATATTTAGCCTCTGGACTCAGTGACATTTAATTAGTTAGCAGACAGCCAAATGCCAACTGTTCATTTCTAGTGGCAGACAGCGCGCATGAGTATTTTGCTCTTCTCATCTACTTCCTTCATATAATAAAACTTGACATAATCTTAACAATCTTGCTGCACGTAATGAAGGGGAAATCATGGATAAAAATGTTGGACAACTATAAATGACTGAAATAGAGATTGTGTGAGAATGTTAACACAAAAACATTTCCTAAGTTTGTCTTCATTTTAATGAAATATACTTCTCTGTACAATTGAGAACAATTCCTACTAAGCTAATAATTCATATTTCCTTAAAAATTATTTCTGTCAGCCGGGCAGTGGTGGTGCACGCCTTTAATCCCAGCACTCGGGAGGCAGAGCCAGGCGGATCTCTGTGAGTTCGAGGCCAGCCTGGGCTACCAAGTGAGTTCCAGGAAAGGTGCAAAGCTACACAAGAGAAACCCTGTCTCGAAAAACCAAAAAAAAAATTATTTCTGTTTAATAACTATGTTGTAACAAGTCTTAGTTGTGGTTCAGAATGTTGCCTTTTACCTCATGATCAGCTTGATAGATATTTCCATACACCGCAATTCAGGCTGAGAAAAGTCCTTTGATGGAGGGAATTTCCATGAGAGTTTGGACTTTAAGATGAAACTCACACTTGATTAGCCTCGTGTGAATTTAACCCTGAGAGCTGCGGAGAAGGATATTGTTTACAACACAGTGGATCCAGGAGTTGGGCTGAAGGCTGTGATGAAAGTCAGCTATTACATTACCACAGAAGTAGAGTAAACATAATATGAGCATTAAAGATTAGGAACAAAGTATCATTATTCATTTAGAACTCATTCCCATCAGTTCCTGTGTATGAACTGTGCTACAAATGAATATGTTTCCCACATGTAAAAAATGTTTATTTCATATGGTCATCGTTTGGTTATACATTATTATTTTCTTTGGAATACTATCCAGTTTATAAAATCTTCCTATCACAGGCACTTCCTGGTGAGTTACTGTTAAGAGTCTGTGAGACTTTTCACTTTATAAATAAAGAAAAAAAATCATGGCCGCTTACAGTGATTTGCATAAGAACTTGACAGAAAGATTTTCATCAAATGGCTTTGTGGTTTTGTTTTTGTGTTGTTGTTGTTTAGTCAACACTGTTTTATTTGTGTTGTAAGCTCCACCTGCTTACAGGGTGTTGTATAAGATGCTGGGGTGTATTTAATAGATTCTGCAGGGTTACAGAGGATGGCCAATTCAGACTCCATGTCCCCCATTACTATGAGTCTTTGCTTGGGTTACTCCTGTAGATTTCATACTGCACTATGTTTCTTCCTCATCCCCAAAATGCCTCCTAATTCCAATCATTTCTCCCAGTATTTCCTCCCCATGCCACTTGGTCCCTCCTTTTCTCAATCCTACTTGCTCTGAGTCTACCTGTGAAATCTATTCTATTTCCCCTTCCAAGGGAGATCCTTGTGTCCCCTTGAAGCACAAATCTTAAAAGGTTCTTATTAATAAAAACAAACCCGAAGCCAGGTATTGGGGTGAATGCTGGAAGATCAGAGAAGCAGAATAAGCCACAGCCACGTCACCTTGCCAATTCCTCAGCTGATCCTGTTTCCTCAAACTGGAAGCCTCTGAGTCCTCATCTAGAATAAATCTCAGCTGAACTGCCTCTCGAAGCCTGAACGCTTAACCAGCTCTATTTCCTGGCCCTCAGGCCTTATATACCTTTCTGCTTTTTGCTCTCACTTCCTGGGATTAAAGGCATGAGTCACCATGCCTGGTTGTTTGCAGTGTGGCTTTAAACTCTCAGAGAGCTGGATGAATCTCTGCCTTCCAAGTGATAGGATTAAAGGCGTGTGTGCCACCATTTTCTGGCCTCTAGTGGCTGTTCTGTTCTCTGACCCCAGATAAGTTTATTAGGGTGCACAATATTTTGGGGAACACAATATCACCACATCCCCCCCATTAAGCCCTCCTTGTTAATTAGCCTCTTTGAGTCTGTAGACTGTAGCATGATTGCTTTTTGTAAAATTATTGAAACCATGATTTTTTAATCAAATCAATCAACGGGACAAATATTAAATTATGTTAATTTGTTTGAGCAGGTAGCAATCCCTATTCAAAATTTACAAAAGAAACTATAAATATCTTTGGATATTTTGTCTCTTTATTTTCGTATCAAAGCAGGAACTATAGATAATTGTTGGAGATAATATACCTTTAATAGGTTCACTTACAAATACATTAAATGTGATTTTTTTATATTGTGCTCATCATAGTTGTTTATAATTTTCTTTACCTGTTTAAGTTTCTCATTGTCAAAGTTAACAATGAAAACCAAACAAAATATAATCAGGTGATGAAATATAGATTAAATACGAAAAACAAATGTAATTTGGAATTTTTAAGGTACAACCTGAGCTATGTATCACTTTTTTATTCAAATGGCAGTTTAGAATTGGCAGGTGGATTTCTGAGGTGAAGTTATGAGGCTACTGAGATCTCCTTACTACTAGAATGCACTGGGAAATAAATAACTTTCTTTCACTATGAAATGCATTCCTCCTTACAGAGTTGATGGGTAGTTGGCCATTAATAACAGATAATGAAAGGTATAATAACTAATCTCACATATATATTTGCTATTTTGTGTGCACACACACAATCAAAAGACAGCCTCCCACACACACAGACACACATATATTAAATGTGCACGCACAGAAACATTGACTCTCTAGGATTTAGCAGCTTCCTCCTAAGTTTATCTGTGGATAAATGTGATAAGGAGTCAGGGTGGAATTATTTTTTGTAATCTGAAAGCCTTGAAAAGTCCTGAGGGAACCTAGCCTAGAAGTAATTCAGTTTAAAATTCATGGAGCTTTGCCTTACTTACATATTAGTTAGTTTTTTTTTTTTCTAGAAAGCATGAATTGTCTCCAAAGCAATGTTTTCATAGGTAACATGTATTATTTCTAAAATACACATTGTTTTGAAAAATATCAGTCTTCATTCTGTTTTACAGAAATGATATTTGTACTGAATATTAATTGTGCTCATAAAATCAGAATCTCCATTTTATATGCTTAGAGTTGTGAAAGAGAAGGAAGTTTATAAATAATTAAAATACATAAACTTTAATATGGCTGACATTTTCATATAATGGTACAAAAACAAACTGTGGGGAATCACTTACCTGTACAAGTAAATCGATTGCAGCATCTTTACAATAGCACCATGACTGAAGTCTGGCTCTGATGCACAAACACTTGTGTAATTTGACAAAGTTGATATTTAATAAACTTGTGTGCATGGGTGAATCATGTGAATTTCCTGCTTTAACTTGTGATGTGTAGTCTGAATCCTGACTATTCATGGATAATTTACCAAAAGCCTTCTTTAAAACAATTGTATAATTGATATTAGTACATTTGGCAATACATAAAATCTAACTCTATTGTCTGCACTTACAAAACTTAAAAACAATTCAGATATATTAGACCAAAAAATTATGCCTGCAAATAGATGCCAATGAATATAACTTCAATCTCTAGCTTTTCCTCCTGGTTTATTGATTTCCTTCAATTAATGTTTGCCAGCCAGTAAATTAACATAGAACCTGAGGCATAATTCTTTAGTGGATCTTGGACAGTGAGTTGTCCTTTCCTTGCAGGTTTAACACCTCTTGAGCCCACTGCTGGTAGCTACATTTTAATTCAGTCTAGACACTGACATTGCCCAAGACTTTAATGACAGGTCATTTACAGCAAACTCATGCTTCACTGCAGAGGTGTCTCATCCAGTGACATCTCATCAATAGCAATTCAATTAGTCAACTTTAAGACTCTGAGATTGAGCATACACTGTGTTGCAAAGCACTCTACAAATTTGCATTTAAAATGCCCCTATTATTCTCTCCCTACTATATTAATATTATTACTGAAAATTTAATATCAGACATTCTCCATTTGGATTTTATTGTTTATATGCCTTTCTCCATCAAAAGGAATAGAATGGAATATCCTGAAAGGCAATTTTAACTTGTGAGACACACTGTCAGTAACATAATTGAAAGGGTAAAAATCTAAAAAAAAAAAAAAAAAAATCGGGGACACAAGAAAAATCACAATTCATTATCATTCAATCTATAAATCATTTCATTTTCACTTTAATAATGAACATTCCTAAAATTCCAGTCTACAAGACATATAGATTAATGATGAACAGACGAAATATTTTTATAAATTCTGATCCTTAGAACCAAGGGATCAATACGTTTTTACTTTGTAAAGTTTTTGTTGAAGATAACTAAAAACATGGGATATTGGAGTGGGAGTGAGAGAGCAAAGCTTAAGCACAAAGTCCACAACTAGAACACTCTGTCCCGACTTGTGTCCTGTGAAGACAATTAAATCTGAGTGTTCTCTGGCATCCTTTGTCTTTAATTCTCCTCTTGTGCTCTTAAGCCAGAGACATTGCTTAGAAAATAGCCATCTTCAAAACAACTGATGAACTGTAATTCATGCAGCGTCTTGAGTTCTTAAGTTCTGGTAGTAAAGATTCTTGCTTGAGCTGAGCCTTCCTTTGTACTTTCACTAGTTGAAATAATCCTCTCATTGTGGATGTGTGAGTGCATGACTAAGGTGAACTGAGTATTATGGATGACATGAGTTTAAAACATTGCCATTCCTCTGCAGGCTTCAGTGTGTTCAATGAGCAATGCTATCAAACGAATGCATAATATGGCTTAATTAATGAATAGAGATGGCTTTGATTGGGTATTACTTAAACTCATATGTTTTAGGGAAGATGTCAGTAAAGATGTTTCTAACTGCAGATTGCAAAAAACTCTTAAGGAATTGCTTTAATTTTAAAAGTTTTATTATCTCCCATAAAAAAAAGAATTGGAATTATCACAAGTTGAAGACAATTAGTTATGAAACAGAACATAAAGGTACTATATACAAGTTACAAAACATCACAGCATTTCTTTTATCTTTCTTTGCTACATTTAAAAGGGTAGAGGATGTCTTCAAGGCTATACATGGCTGCCGCAGTACCTGAGAAGATAAAAGAGGAGATCATTCTCGTGTTCTGCATCATTTTGCAAAGCCCATTAGCTCGCCAGTAGATTTACACTCAGGCATCATTAGCAGAAACTGGGCTTGACATCAGTGCTTTTTCTCCAGCAAGGGAAAGCAATGTGCAGCTGTTGCTTTAGGCTAGCACTGATGTGACGCCAGTGTGTTTCTAGAGTTTATGGAGTAGCAGTAGCTGGACCCAAGCTAGAATGATGGTGAGTGAGCAAAGGAGAGAGAGGGAAATCACTGGCCATACTCAAGAACTTCATGCACAGTGCAAATAAGTGCAGTGAAGTTTTTAATAGGTGTCAAGGATTGCTAAGACAAATAAATCTGAGGAAGTAATCTGTGATACACAACAGGTTGCACATGGAGTACACTGAATCCCTATGTCTCGAGCTTGAAATTCTGCAAACGCCAAAGCTTTTTGGGTACCAAGACACTAAAAAGTGAAAAGCTCGTGCCTTTTACATTTCTGTTACATGTACAAAGTTATTTAAAATATTAATAAAATTACTTTCAGGCGACATGTATAAGATACATAAAGCATAAACAAATCTTCATTCCTAACACTTCCCTTAATCTATATAAAAAAAAACTATATATTTTATAATCCAAAATCTGAATTTGTTTTCTGGTTTCAGTTCTTTTCATATAAGTATTACTCAACCTGTATCTCAAAAACTAGCACCTGAAAACACATTTATTTATCTCATTCTTTGTATATTAGAACCTGAGGGTGATTTAGAGGATCCTTCTTTCTTGGTTTCTCTTGGAAAAAAAAAAATCAAGGTTTCTGCTATCAACTGGATATCATCTGAAATTTTGACTCATAAAGTGCCTAAGATTAAGTTCTACTACTTTTGTCCAGGAGCTCATGGATGTCTTTCCTAGGTCTCTTTGACATGGCCGACTGTCTCACTACATAGACATGACTGAATCCCTTCCTTTGTAACTTGGTCATGCATTGGTCATCTTCTCATCCTTGCTATTTTCAGTTAACTGAAAGGAAGATACTGAAGAATAAAAAGTAAAACAAGGCTATGAATCCAGGAGATGTCAGTCATCCTGTGTGTATTCCATGCTGTCCTTGTATATGGAGAATTGATAATAGCCCATCAATTCAATGACTTAATAAATAAGCAGAATAAAATGAGATTTGGGGTACTCTGATTATGAGTTGGTTTAATCTCTCCAGAAATTAATTTTTTTTCATGGAGAAGTTAATGCCTTGAGTGTCCATTGCTCCAAGTCAAAGTGGGAAAATAAAGTAGAAAATTTAAAATTCTGCTGTAACAAGAATGAAAGTCTGTAGATAACCCATAGAAAGCATCGTGTGTTCATGGCATGATAAAGCAAACATCAGAGAGGACTATCAAGATGGCTCAAGGGATAAGACACCTGATGACAATTCTGATTATCTGAGTTCAACCCATGGAACCCAAATGGTGGAAAGAGGATGAATTTCTACAAGATATTCTCTTGGTGTGCCTATACACATAAATTCACATGCACACAGAATGAATAAATATAAGAAAAGTAAAAACAAAGAGAATGTGATAATGGTGGACTGTGAGAGATAGTTTTATGTTAAACTAAGATACCTATTGCAGCAATTTAGTTCAATAGAATTATGCAGGCATTAGCTAAAAGAGCTTCTAAAACACCAATTAATTTCTAGCATCTAAAAGATAGGTAAATGCATTCTTTCTATACCTATTGAAGTCACTTGAGTGATAACTCATAAAATATTTTAAAACATAACTCAATAAAATCATAACTTTAATATGCTTTATCATATGAAGATTAAATATCATTTAATATTTATAAGAAGATTAACTATAAATAAATCTGTGAAGACAAATATTATTTTTTAAGTCTTAATTAAATGTCATAATACTTAGAATGTTTTTTGCTTCATGCTGTATAATTAAAACTGAATAATTTTATTTATATGGCTGACTTAATATAATTGACTCATTGACTTGAACACAGATGCTGATTTATCAAAATATCCGAAAGAATAAATCCCAGTATGATAAATGCATTATTACAATGTGACAATACTCTAAAGGGTTAAATTATACAAAATATAATGTGTTCATCTCACTTAAACTGACAATACACATTTTACATTTTAAGGGAGATGATTAATTTTATTTGCTTATGAATTTATCAAGTATTTCTGAAGTATATTTAATGCATAATCTGTTCTTCAATCAGCTATATATTACTCATTTTATTTTGTTATAAAAAAGTTAACTTTTCTAGTGAAATAAATTTGATTAAAGTATGGTCTCAGGAGAGCTTCAACATACCTTTGGAAAGCTTCTCATAATTCAACAGAAATGTCACATACTTGATAGATAGTGCCTCAGGACAATAAGTTAGCATGGAAAATAAGCTCACCCTTGATCCCAAGAGAATGAAGAATGCTTTCAGGTCAAAAAGAAGGTCACTTCCACAACATATTCCATCTGCTTAATCCCTGTGCACCAGACATTGCCAGGGGTGAAGTGTGGGTGGTGGTCTTGATATAGAACAGGCTACCCTATGAAAAGACAAATTATAATACTAATTACATTTTACTCGGTATACTATTAAATATTTTCTATTAAATAGACTGAACAACATACCACTTTCATCACACAATATATTAACAGCATATCAGATGCAATACCAGCAGCATATCTTGTGATGGTTATAAATACAGCTGCAGGCAATTGTTCTCTTGGCTGTGACTATGAATGACCTCTTTGCATGGCAGGGGTGCTAATCATGAATGATCACTGAGCTGGCTGTGCATTGTTATGCAATCTAGATGTCATTTCTCAGGCAGTGCAAAATCTGTATGAGCAATTGAAACAAGAATGTGAAAAGAGAGGAAATGAAGATAGGGGGGTGGGCAGAGAGAGCAACAGCACAAATCTTGCCAAAGAAACAAAGTTAAGTGTTGATTGAATGATTTCTATTGAAGTTTGTTGAAAAATATTCTGAAAGTTCTGACAGATTAAGTCTCACCAAGCAAATGTACAGGAGTTTTCTCTGAGGACTGTGAACATAAATTTGAATGACCAGCATCCTAATGATAACGCAGTGTTATACAACAGCAACAGTTGGTGACTGAACCTTATTGTTTTCACTAACTCCCGTTGACCCCCAAGAAGAAAGAACTTTGGAAATGTGTTCAGTGGATTCATTTTATATGGATGCATCATTGTTTTTTTACTGTATATTGTAGTCAAATACAAATGGAATGCTTAATTACACATCAGAATCTTCAAAATCAATTGAAGATAAGAAAGAATAAGTAGAATTTTTGCAAAATTAGATTTCCAGAAGACCTGAAATCTAGGTCATTATCCCTTATTACTCCTGGACAATATTTGATAATTATTCCTATTGTATATAGTCTTGTATTAGGTTTGAACCTTCTTATTTAGACAAAAGGGGGAGATGTAGTGGGCAGCTGTTCCAGCTTTGACCTGGAAGTACTACCCACATTGAGGCTGCAGTAACTGTCACGCCTACAAGGTGGGGCCGAGACAGGAACCCTTAAGGCCCGAGATCTGGATCTGCCAATGCTCTTGGTTCCTGGAACCAGGAACCTGGACATTGGAGGTAGACCGAGAAGAGTTTTCCAGAGAACACCGCTGGACTGTGCTACACCTTTCCTGGACCCTGTAACCTATCCCTTTACTTTTAAGTTACCCCACAAAATAAACCTCCCTTTTAACTACATGGAGTTGCCTTAATACTACAACCAATAGTTCCTCCTCCCTTCCCTTCTCCTGCCCCACCCCACCCCATCCCCACCTCGATCCCCTCCTCATAGGGGGTAAAGCCTCCCTTGGGTAGTCAACACAAGCTGGCATACCAAGTTGGGGCTGGACCTAGCCCCTCCCCTCTGCTTCAAGGCTGAGAAAGACATTGCACCATAGAGAATGGGCTCTAAAAAGCCAGTTCCTGTACCCAGGATAAGTCCTGGTCCCATTGCCATGGGACCCACAAACACATCAAACCACACAACTGTCACCCACATTCAGAGGGCCTAATGTGGTCTCATGCAAATTATAGTCATGCTATGGTATAACAGAACAATATGTTTGATTGTGCTTATGTACTGCAATCTATTTCTGTCCATTGACCAAACCCTGTATAACAAATGTCTCTGCCATAATATTTACTCAATGGGTAAGCAATTAAGAAATATATGTCTTGTTCAAGGACTCATTAATTTTATATTATAACATATACTAATTATATATATACTAATCAACATGGATTTTATAGAAAATTTTAATTATATCAACAAAAATTAGCATTATTTAAATTCTACACTGCTAAGAAAATTGTATATGTGATATTCTTAACAGAAGTAATAATTTTTTTTTACTTATATTTCCTCAAATTGTGATATTGGATTCACTTCATACCAATTCCTTCAAGCTATATGGAAATTCTTACAGAATTTTAGAAATTTGGAATACTATTTTATCTCTAGAATCCTAGTTTATCTCTGTTTTTCTTTTCTCTTGTTCAAAATCATTCAGGGCCTGCCACTAAGTACCACTAACATCTTAGTTTTCTTCAGACCTCAAACTGACACTCTAATTTATATTTTCTGTCATTACTATTGATATTCTTTCTCTGATGGATACCTCTTGCTTTCTCATTGCTTTTAGTTCAACAAGCAACCAAAAGAAAATGAATGGCTACTTAGATTACAGAATCTTTGAGCTATAATTAATTTTATGGAACTTTTAACAGTGCCTTAGAATTTTATACATGAACATAAAATTTCATTATCACCTTTCTCAGGATGTAACATTGTTATATGTCCCAGAGAAAGGCTGTTATATGTCTTGCATTATTCAATGAGAATGTCCTTAAATTTCAACTTTAATGTCTTTCAAAACTAAGAAACATGTTTTAAATACCTTATACCCATGGCTGCTAGCCATTTATCATCATTAGTACATCGAACTTAACTTTTTTTTATTCTTTAAACGCTGTGTGAAAGAGATAAATAATTTACTGCCCTTCCTCATTGAAACCAGAAGATAATTGTACCACCACAGACCTCAAAGCTAAATGTAGGGAATGATTATTCTCATGTGTATATGAAATTTTTCTATCAATGGAGTTAGTTTACCCCAAATCTCAAAAAGAAAAAAAACCCTGTAGTTTTGGTGATGCTTCTCTTACTTATACATTTGAAATTCCATAAGCTGGATACATTTCAGATGTATACAGTGTTGAAGCATATACTTCTTTATATGTAAATAGTTTAATCATTTACACAAATTCACATACATCTATTTAATATTGATTATATGACTATCTGGAGGTAACATTATATCATTATGGATCATAAAATAATGTATTTAACATATATGTACTTCTCTTAGTTACATAAGTTCTTTTCACACAAGCAGGTTGGAACTTGTAAAACTATCAAAATGGACATTGGTCCATGCCTCAATGTTTGTTGCTGGAATTTTCCACCTCCCTTTCCACGTTTTATCTCCCACTTCTATTCTCATTTAGTGTAATCTCCAATTTTGATAACCAATTTGTCTGCTTTGTTCAGTCCAGAAACCTAGACCATGAATTGATGCTGTCCACAGTGAAGATGGGTCTCATAGGTATATCTAGAACTTAGGAGGCTGAAAACCAGTATCAATAATCACACATAGGAAAGATATCTATATTTTTATCAGAGTTATTTTCATAGAGTTGTAGAAGCTCAAGTATAAGGACAAACTTTATGACATGCTTCAATCTCATATTATTCTCTTGCTGTATACAAAGATATGAGTGTTTATAATCAAATATTGTTCATACTGTACCCGAATAGCTTTAATAGTTATGTTTTCAAATATTTGTTAAGGAGCAACTGTGTGCCCTGTAATTTCAAACAGCATATGGAATGACAAAATGAATACATTTAAGAACAGATTCTAAAACACATGAATGACAGTGTCTACACAAAATTAACACTTTTGTTAATCTCTCTTCAAACATGATTTCAGGTATAACATTGGAAAGTAACTTCACCTTTTCTTTTCCAGTTAATTATAATTTAATGGTGAAATGTCATTTATCATAAATGCTATATTTATTCATTTGTATACTTTTTTAGACAGAGTTAAAAATAAAATCAGGACAGAAAAAATCTTAGAGTGAGGTAAGAGTGGTGTGTGGTTGGTGTGACAAACCACATATTCATAAATCTTCTATAACCACTGCCATTTTAGCAATAAATATGATTTAAAGATTTTATTCTTTTAAAGATATTGTGAAAAAGTAGAATTACAGAAGAATTCTGTAAAAAGACTTTCTGTACTGTGTATATATCTAAAAATTATTTAAAAAAATAAATCAATGCTGATTACATACCTTGATGTTAAAATAAACTTAGTTATCTAAGTAAATTTTAATAAATTGATATATGTAGAATGCATCTGGTTATCTTTCTACAATCACTGGGCTTTCTCTTTGTTTTCCTGAAAGTTTTTAATGTATGTTAAAGAGAATGCATTCTTAATAATATTTAAGTATTATTTCAAAGTTGTTTAAAATTCTCATTTAAGAGCCAATTTAGTTTTTTCCTCAAACAGTTCAAAGCAGTTCTTAAATTTTTAATTTAATTTAATTGCTTTTCTGAGAAGTGCCTTAAGCAGCCCAAGTTAACTTCAAACCGGCCCATCAGGCCATGCTGGCCTTGAAGACATGATCAACCAGCCTCCTTCTCCCAAGTGCTTAGGTAATAAGTGTGTGTTATCTTGTCTGCTATAAACATTTCTTTATTAATGATGGTATTATAATTTATAATTTGGACATTATTATAGAAAAACTACAAGAGCCAGAAAAACAGGGAGTTTCTTGTGATGTTGTGTGTCCTAGAAATTTCAGAAGTTGCACCCTTCAAGTTTCACCAACAGAAATGATGAAACCAGATATGAAGAAGGACTGTACAAATAGACATGCAGATGGGGATGGGGGTGGAGAGGCTGGGGGAAGTGCAGGAGGTCCCAATTCTAGAACTATATGCAACTAAAGAACTACATGCAACTAATGAACTCTGAGAATGAGAGAAACAGACTTCACCAGGAAAAAATACCTTGATTTCTAAGTTTCCAGAGGAAGAACTTTGTGAGTTTTTCTCTCATTTTTGAATAACAAAATATAATACAATAAACATAACACAGTGAAATTGGACAAAACAAACCAACAGAATGAAAAGACCCCAAGAAAAGGCACAAGAACCAAGACTCACTTGTTTGAACACCCAGGAATCCCACAGAAGCTAAACTAGAAGCCATAATATATAGACAGAGAACCTGATACAGACTCATGTCAGCTCTGTGCATTCTGGCTTTGTTTCTGTAAGTTCATATGAACTGTGCTCAATTGATTGAGCGGGACTTAGATTCTTGGTGTCATCCATCTCCTCTTGCCTTACACTCTTTCTGCTTCTTCTCCTGAAGGTTTCTCTGAGCCTTGAGGAGAAGGATCCATTTAGGGTTGAATGTTCCAAGGTTTCTC